ACTTGGGTTTAGACTTTTTTTTTGTAATTAGTTTGTAATTTTTCCAACTATATGTTGGCTATCATTTTATTAATAAAATTTTTTATTTTCACCAAAAAAAAAAAAACTACATAGCTTATTATTTAGTCATGACTTCATGAATAAAGAGTCCCACCTTGATTTTCTCATAAGCACCATCAAGTTTTGGCTTACTACCAACTTTACCAACAAGAAATCTAGCTTAAAGGGCATATGACAACAATCATGAGAGGTTTGATTTATCTTAACATGTAAAGAGTAAAAATTTAGAGGACCCTAATGAAGAACAAGTTTAGGTGCCAAATATGCATCTCTTAGAATCTACCCCTCAAGGTATACTCAATAAGTCCATCATTCGGCTAATATAACAACATATCCTTTGATTGATCCTTCTTCTATATAAGCTCATTCTTGGTGTCTAGATATTGATGATTCCCATCATGTCACTAAAATCTAACTAGTCTTGGCACTTATAAACCCTATTAAAGACCTAATCAACTACAAGTTGATAATGGTGAGTTCTTATCCATTCACAATATTGGCACTAGCCACATTCACACAAATTCTAGAACTCTTGCCATTTTAGATGTGTACATTCTAGAACTCTTGCCATGTTAGATGTGTTACATATACGAAAAATTAATAGATCATTACCTTTTGTTAAATGCCTAGCTCAAGATAATAATTTATTTTATAAATTTCAACCCTTTAAATTTTGTTTAAATGATTTGGTACATAAGAAACACTTTTTTTTAGGTCGAGTGAAATTGATCTTTATGTTTTTTCTTTATCCCCCTAATCATTTCAATCCTCACACATACTTTATTCAAGCATCCTTAAAGATTTGGCTCTCCTGTTTAGCACATTTCCATAATTGAGTAGTGCATCTTATTTTACAAAATAATATTTTATCTAGTCCTAAGATGTCTAGTTTATGCTTGTCTTTTCCATTAGGAAATGTAGGTCGATTGTCTTTAGCTTTATTAATATTTTAGTATTGGTTTATTGAATTTAATTTTTAGCGATATATGAGGGCCGCCATCATCAAGAACTATTGTTGATGGTCATATATTTTATGTTATTTTTATGGATCATTACTCGAAAAGTTATTTGGTATTTTTCTCTTCATAAAAACATTTTTATACCTTTATTCTCTCTCAAAAACTAGTTGAAAGACAATTTAACTATAAAATTCAACCAATACAAACAAGCCGGGAGAGTGAATTTTTTCGTCTTAACACCTTCTTTAAATATATTGGTATTTCTTAGTGAATCATGTATTCTCACACCCATTAACAAAACAAAACAGTTGAACAATGTCACCTTCATATCATGGAGACTGACTTAACCTTAATGGGTGAGACTTATGTTCCTCGAATTTATTGGTAGTCTTCCTTTGAATTGTGTTTCTTATTAATTATAAGTCTTTTTTTGTCCTTCAAAATAAATCTCCTTATGAAATTGTTTTCGAACTCAAATTAGATTACTTGTTTCTTAAAATTTTTACTTGTTTGTGTTTTCTATATTTGTGTTCCTACAATAAACATAAAATAAATTTTTGAACAACTCATTGTGTCCTTTTTGGATACATTTTGTGTCATCTAGGAAGTTGATGTTTAGACACTAAAACAAATAGAACAAAGATTTCTCGTCATGCCCATTTTGTCAAAGTAATTTTTTTCTCAAAAATGCAAATCTCTTATGTCCATATCAAAACAACAAGCATCGAAATGTCATGTTCTTTTGCACCTATCCTCCTTTTGTCCCATCCTTCAAGCACGACTTCTTATAAAAACCGGGAACACTTGGATCAAAGCCCACCATCACAAACATCATCCCAACCAAACTAAAACACAATTACTGCCCTATTAGTTTTTCCTCAATCACGGACTCCCTTCTAACCCAACCAACTCCACACTTCAAAAATAATGCCTCGGTACACCTTCTTATACAACCTAAAAAAGTCAAACACAAGCATAAACCTTACAAAATTTCACTCATTAAAGCATGACTCGAAGAATAATCTTTTTCTTTAGCCTTATTAGACATTAGCAACTCTCTTAATTGCTTGAATTTAGTTCTTGATTCCATTTAGCATGGTTTAACACCTTAGTCAAACAGTGCCATTCCACAAGCACAAACAAATCCTCCTCTTTACATCCTATGATCATAAGCTTCATAAAAAAAATAAAAAATAAAAATAAAAATAAAAATAAAAACTTCTCAACCAAAGGTATCTATGGCAATAAAAATGATAATAATGTTTGAATCTCCTATTTGTTTTTTTTCTAAAGCCTAAGAGTTTGTTGAATGGCGGATATCTATCTCTACTGAAATTAATTTCCTTCTTCAAAATGGGACATGGTCATTAGTTACTTCTACTACAACCATGGTCATTAGCAAATGAGTTTTCAAGGCAAAAAAAAAAAAAAAAAAAGCAAATGGCAGCCTTGAATTGTATAAGACAAGGTTAGTGGCAAAAAAAAATTATCAACAAAAAGGCCTCAACTATAGCAAGACTTTTAGTCCCATAATGAAGCCCAAAATCATACGATTTTTCTTATTTTAGGAGTATGCAATTGCTATAAAATCAAACAACACGATGTACAAAATGCCTTTTTTCCGATGGCATCCTTTTTGAGGATGTGTTCATAACACAACCCATAAGTTTTATAGATGCACAATTTTGAACCCATGTTACACAAGTCTATTTACATAAACAATCTCCTAGTACATGGTTCTCTTGTCTTCATGATTTTCTTCTTTAATTTAGATTTGTTGGTTCAAAGATAGATTATTCTCTATGTCAAAAAAATATCTTAATATTTTTTTTCATAAGATTGTATTGAAAAAATAAAATAACAATTAATGTAAAAAAAATCATTAAAATGAAAAAAATAAAAAACATTTTTTTCTTATTGAATATCGATGAGAAAATTAATTTAAAAACACACACATATATATACACACTTTTGATCACTTAATGTCTATGTTGTTCAAAATTTATTATTATTATGAATGAATTTAATCATATGATTGACAAACAAGCAAAATTGGATATAATAAATTTTTATGCTTTTTTTCTTTCTAGAAAGGTGTATGGATAGAAAACCTCATACTTCTAAGAAAACTTCGTACCTTTTAGACCACATATTCGAAGTACCTCTACCATACAAATATTGAGGCTAAAATCCTAAAATATCTATATAAATAGAGTTTTAGAAATATTATCTCTTTAAGAATCCAAGATATGAACCGCATAATGAATGAAGCTTCCGACTTTGTTTGGAGCAATGTTGATATCTTTTTGAAAAATATGTAATTAATTTAATGAGCCAACATAATTAAGGTCTTGCTCACATCGACAGTGGCCAATACATGATGACAGTATAGTATTGGTCCATGCAGGAACCATCTTCTTCCTTCACTAGCAAGTCTGCAAGATGGTGACTGAGCCCAAAGCGTTTAGGGTTCAATCATGAATGGATATATATGATGCATTAAACTTGAACAAAAGTATAGAAACTCGGATAATATCAACCCTAGCTAGATCTCCTTGAGGCCCTTTCAAGAATTGGGCGTAACCAAGCCAGAAGTAAAATTGATTTATAAAGAGATTAGCCCACCATAACGATCCGTGATCAGAAATATTTGGACTCTGTGGAGAGCCGAATCCAGGCTGCCATTGTAAAAAGGCCAGTATCTGTGGTAAGTTACCTTAGTCTAAAATCCTTAACTAATTTGAGCCCAACAAAAGGCGTATGAATGACCTTTCATTTATAGCTTTATACCACTGTGTTTTAAGCGTGGTGAACGATTTCCATCTAGTGTATATCCATGACTAATTCGTTTTCTTTTTCATTTTGTTTTCTTTTAGTAAAACCTACACGGCCATATTAATATCCTGGATGGACATCCAATAGAAACCATTTCATCAATGTCCTTAATTTTTTAATTGCTAATTTATTTCTTGTATGGAGTACAAATTTTATTACTCAATACTCAATTTTAATTAATTTAATGATACAGGATAATATGTAACAGTTTCGAGTTTCAATTAAATATGAAAAAACTTTGCATGGTGTGTCAAATCCTACTAACTAAGAAGATAATTTCTTTTCAATTTTCTTGTTCCACGTGAATAGTTGATTTTTGTCTGAACTTAAGAGGTTTGCCTTCCATTTTCAAGCAAGTTGGTTTGAGGTAATTAAAATGTTTCTAAAACTACATCTAATAATAATAATCTTTGCATATTCCTCCATTAGCTTGACTGGTTAGGGTAGCTCAAGATTTTGCTTCCTCACAAGTTAGTCATCATCGAATCATCTCACAATCGAGAATTTTGCCCAAGAGTCCCTAATCCAAGGTGGATGACTTGAATAACAAAAACAATTTTTAAGTCAATAATTCTGTTTGTGCATATTTTCCAATATCTGCGTCAGGATTTACACATGCGCGCATAACTTTTATGAGCATCAAATTGAACTTGCGAGAATTAATATTAGTTTTTTAATTACAAAGGATATTCAATTTTTATTTTTTTTAAAAAAAAAGATGAACAGAAGAAAGAAATACTGAACGGATTAAGTAATTAAGAACATTACACACTTGTTTATTATGATGATAAATCCAAATAAATAAAGACTCCATAACTGGAGTAATTCCATATCCTTGCAAAATACAAGCTGTTGTTAGTCATATAATTAAGATTTTTCTCTTCACAACATCTAACAACTAGGCCTTGTTCACAATCACTGATACGGAAATTTGAGGAAGGCATACATGCTATAGAAGACAGAAACCTCAACCTAGATAGTTAAAATTGTTAAATCGTATGAAGGATTGATTTTAACAAGAAGATGTCAAGCTAGAGCTAGAGAGATACACTTCTGTTGACTCATAAGCAAAATTAAAGTGAAACCCTAAATGAATAAGAGCACTTCCATGCATAAGGAGTTCAATTAACCATTCTCCCCTCCTCGCTAATTAATCTCCTTTGTGATTGCTGCAATACAACTAGAGCTTCTTGCAATGCCAGTAGGACCATTCTTTTGTCCACCTCTATCTCTAGGACTGATGGAGTTGGCTCTAAGACTTGCACTCTTTTTTAACATCTCCCTCATGGCTTCAGCCTGGGACAATACAGGATATGCCCTCCCAAACCTATTAAATCTTACACATGCATTCATGTGCTCGTTCAAGGCCTCTTCTTTTTTGCCTCCATTTTTCTCCATTTCTTGATTAACTGCTGCTGCACATAACCCGCAGACCAATTTCCCTGAGAACTTGTCACGTACTCGCTTTATGTATTCAGGGGTGCACTCTTCACTCATGCCACAGCACTCACACTTTGCATCTTCTACCTCAGATATTGGTGTGAGCTTCGCATGATGATCACTTGCTTCTTTGTTGAGCTCAAATGAGATGTCAGATATTGTTCTTTGGAGATTTTCCATTGAAAGTGTACGGGGCTTGTGGGCTTTGTTATCACTGTTTGAGTAAGAGGCAACAAGTGTTTCTCTGTTTGGTGCCATGATGATGAAGGCTAAAACAAGTGCTGCAATTACTTGATGGATATATAATAGCAAAGAGAGAACTTACAAGTGTGGAATTGTGGAAGTTGAGGACGTTAAATTGCACTATATCTGTTATGGAAATTAAGTTAAGAATCCCATATGTAAGTTTCCTTTTTATAAAATTCTCGGATTATCTCTAGAAAAGTATGGGGAAATGTATGTGGACTAGGGAAACTGTTGCTCGGCAGCCAAAGGATTAGAAAGAGAAAGAGTCTGAACGACCTAGATTTTTCATGAATATTAATTTAAAGATTTTGGAAGCTACAAAAGATACCCTTCTTTATATTTTGAAGTAGGATTTAGTTTTGCAAAGGAGACATTCACGTGATGCATGGTCCATCCTAACCAGAGAAATCTGGTAGTAACTCAATTAAGGTTTTAATTCGCTACTTTAAATTGGAAAGGTAACAAATAATAAACAGAAAATGACTTAAGATGTGTTTGCTGCTGAAACAACAGTGCTACAGCCTACGGGTTCAATCTAAAGAACTCGAAAGTCACGAGGAGCATAGCCAACCATGTGAGAAGGGTCTTAAAAGTTGGTGCTCACAGGTGTCTCGGAGGGAAGAAGGAAAAGTGGTTTTCGTTTATGGAAGAGAAAATTTCAACAGAAACCAAAGGCTTAATCATGTATTGGCCTTTCCTATCATTCTTCCATCCTGCATCATTTAAACTTTCGTAATTATGCCCTTGCATTGATCAGGATGAAGACTGAACAGTCTGTTAGTTGCCTTGGTAGTTAATTTAGATGAAATTTAAGGAGGCAATCCTTCAATTTCTGTTTTCAATTCTTAATTGATATGTGTGGTTTTTTATCATGTCCCAATGGGTTATAGCTGTTTAATTTGAATCTGTTGCAAGGTTTAATATATCAAATCTTATCATTGATCTGTACCTTTATAAAGAAATTAGCAGCAGATTGCAGCACAATAAATACTTCTCTTGCTTTCACCTAAATATTTATAAAAGTGCAGTATTTGCCTTATTGAGCTAGCTAACAGCAGGAAAAAGGAAAAACAGCGAAGGCCCAGTCTACATATGGTTATACAGAGGTGTTAAATAAAACAGGTATTCGTAGAAAAAAGCTCCAAACAAGTTAATTAATTGAAGGCGCAAAATCATATTACAGGCACAGCCTAATGCCTGTACCACAAGATGTTACGTGTGGGTGACTAGAAAATGTGATCTAAAATGATGTAAAATATCATTACCTAATTGATCCATGGCTCTTGATCAAGTCAAACTGCTACAATATATACTTTTTTTATCGATAACCAGCCATGCATAGAGTGAACCAAAAGATCAAGAAAACAGCAAATTATTTAATTAATCGTTTTTTATTGAGATTTGGCATGAATGTCTTGGGTTTAGGATGAATTTGCCCACGTATGCTCGCCGATTTTTATTTTTATATAAAAGGTAAATTATTTTAAATACTCTATGGTTTGAGTGCGGTACACTCTATAATTTTATAAATTATACTTTACAGTCCAAATATTTGATAATGAACTTTCTGACAAAATAGAGTAAAAAGAACTAAAATACTCATATATATAACTGAACCTTTAATGCCGGTTAATTAAGCATTTTCTCTACTATTTCCACCCAACTCTCCCTTGCTCTCTGTCTCTCTCTCTCTCTCCTGTTTCTGATCTCTTGTTCATCTTTTCTCTTTCTTCGAGACAATTTGATTATTCAATTTTTTCAAAAATAAAAAATAAAAATTGGTTGATTGAAAGTTTTTCCGATTGTTTGACATTGATTCATGAAGGAATTGAAGCTGAATAGGAGGTACATGAAACCCTAACTTCAATGTTTGAAGTTTTTAAATGAAAGTGCTGCACTAAGAAATAACCAACGAGCTTACCTTGGATGCTTCTTGCTGGCTTATAGCTGCAAACTTTCAGTGATCTCATTTGGATTGGATATGTTAGGCCTTGGATGTTGGGCTTTACAAGTTGGATAAGATCTTATTTTTGCTGAAACAACCAATAAATTTTGTGAAGCCAATCAAGAAAAAAATTAAAAATAATATATATCGTGAAGAACTTGTTTGGATTTCATCCATCTTGTTCGTTCAATTTATCAGACTAAGGCCAAAATTAAATTCGGATATATCAACATGTCGTCCTAAGAATGTCCCACAATTTCTCCTGATTTATCAGCGAGTTTTACGATGCCCTAAGAAAAAGAATGGCAAGTTTCATGGAAAGAAACAAGAAAAGATAAAAAGTTAAGACGGGTTTTGTGTGGGCGGGCTTTTAAGTTGGGTCGGACTAGATTAGTACATTTAGCCCGTAGACGAAACAGGCATCACTTGTGTTGGGCCACTTAAAAGAAACAAGGAAATAAAATTGTAGGAGGGCCCAAAATTTGGCTACCAAAGATTACAAGTAGTGCCATGTTCCCTCAAGTAAGTGAAAGATCCCCAATTTAATATTTTTCCTTCAATATTCTTTCTCAAATTGTTAGAGCTTTTCTAACAATGTTTCTTATTACTATAGAAAATTTCCTAAGGAAAAGAATGCAATGTTTTTTTGTTTTTTTTTATTGACTGAAGATGTACCTATTAGACTAAAGATATCAACGTATGAAGGGTAAAGAAGGAAAATAAATGGTACCTATTTAGACATCCTAAAACCATCTATGATTTAAGAGCAATGATTATGCACCCATTTAGGCATCCTAAAACTATTTATGATTTAAGCACAATGATTATGTACCTATTTAGACATCCTAAAACTATCTAAGAGCAATGATTATGTACCTATTTAGACATCCAAAACTATTTATGATTTAAGAGGAATAATTATGCAAATGCAAGGAATAAAGTTATAGAGTTAGATAATTGATATAAAATTATAGAGTTATATAATTTATATTAAATTCTATTAAAAAAAACTTAAACTTTACGGTGGAAGATCTTTTCTCAACTTTATACAATATTTATTTTTATTTAACTGATTTATAATATATTCTCTAATGTTTTTTTTTATTTGCAATCCATCTTTTAGGTCATGTTTAGTAATTTGAACTCCAAGATCTTTATTGGGTCGTTAGATATTTTTGAAATTCCGATACTATATTAAAAAATATCTTAAGTCAAAAAAAAAATTGTGTTTAATGTACTAAATGAAAGGAATAGTTTTATATTACTCTTAACAAAAGGATAAATTGGATTGTTAAAAAGATTTGTTTTCGTCTTTATTTTTTTAAGTTTGTATTTTAAAATTAGTATTTACAATAGTTTTTTTTGTTTAATGTATTAGATTGATATGAGAGTATTTTCAGATTATTTGAAAAAATGATTTAGTTTTAATTGATATGTAGATGAATCTAAAAAGTACTTTTAAAGGGTAGCATTTACGTAGGAAGGGAGTCGATAGTAACCATCTAATATTTAATAGATTTGGTATTAATTTTGGTGATTTTATATCCGGATTCCAATGCAATTTATAATAGATTTCATAGTAATTTTGGGGATTTTATATCCGGTTTCTTGACAGAGCCAACACAGTTTTTGATAAAATAACAAGTTTCCTTCCTTTTTTCTTTTTTTTTTTTCCTTTTATGAAGGATCACCGAGGGCCAGTGACAGTGGTGAAATATCTTATTCTCCATACGCATCCTCATATGATCATCATCTTTTGGTTTATTGTAACTTGTAAGAGCTCAGTTATCCAATATTGCAAGACCTTAGAAGGAAAACTTCTTTGGGGCCCTTGCACGAACAAAATTTCTGATGAGTTGTTGGCCAGCTTTTGAACCGTCAAAGCAATGATCTTTCTTTTTCAAAGGATATAATTACTGAAAATGAAAAGCACCACTTTGATTGATGTGTGGAAACGGCTAATTTTGATTTCTTTCACCATAGTAGAAATTAATCTTACAACAAAAGAATTTTTGTTTAGAGTAGTATTCTTTAAACTAGTTTGTACATACCAATTATCGATTATTTCTGATTCGTTAAAAACGAGAAACGATTACAAGAAGGGCAAAATCAATGACCCTTTTGTAACTCTCCTGATTAAGAATAAGTTGGGTTGACATGAAGTGATATCATGAGTCCTGCCCTATCCATAAAACCACACTTCCTTTTCTTTATTTCTTTTTTCTGAAAATAAAATGTAATTTAGGCTATCTAAAACTTTTGTTAGAGCATATTGCATCACATCTTACAGACATTTGCAAAGGATCTACTTTGCTACATTTATATGGATAGATAATGTTGATGATTATATCTTTGCAAATGAGGTCACACAAGATGCAGAGTTATGAAACTTACTGAGCACCTTAGCCAACACAACAATAGGGACAATTTGGTCTTTAACTTGGTGCTCACTTTAATGTGTTGAGACTTTTGACAACATCTTTCTAAAAGATTATGCAAAATGCTCCCCATATTTGATTGCTTAATTTGAAATTTTATCTTTCTTGTACCAAGAATACGAATCACGCATCATTGCTCATATCATTCACTTTTTGTAGTTTCATATAAGCTCAAGAATACTACAGAAAACCTTATCTTATAGAAATTGTTCCATATGCTTTTCCTTTTCGTCCCTTTATAATCATCATTCAAATAAGATGAAAATTATGATGTCTTTGTACTGTCCAGTTTTTATAATTTTAACCTATTTATTTAGTTATGATACAAATCAAATTTTGTATTATTCAATAGCATCTGACTAATCACATTCTGAATATTATTAATGAAATTAGATGAAAAGTTTAATTTAGTTTGTACTATAACTAAATAAAAAAATTAAAATAATCAAAACTGAATAATACAATAATACAAGATAATTTTCATTCTATTCAAATATTTGTGCACCCCAAACACCACCATTTTTAGGGCACTATGGAGAGCAATAACATCAGTCTACAGTCTTGCAATCACGACAAGGCCAACAAAGTCAAAGGGCGGTCCTAATTTTGGCATGCTTGGTCACACATCAAAGAAATATCTTTCATGTTCGTTTGATGTGATTTGAAATTGGTCACTAAAAAGAAGAAAACTTAATTGTATATCAAAACAAAATATTAGAGACACAAATTGAAAACATTTTCTTTTATTGGGCCCAATTCAGGATGGTTTATCATGAATTAATTATTTAATTTTATATGTCGAAAGATGTGATGTATCACAAGACCTTAGAAGGAAGATATCTTATCTTATAGAAATTGTTCCATATGCTTTTCCTTTTCGTCCCTTTATAATCATCATTCAAATAAGTTGAAATTATGGTGTCTTTCTACTGTCCAGTTTTGTTAATTTTAACCTATTTATTTAGTTATCATATAAATCAAATTCTGTATTATTTAATAGCGTCTGATCAATCATATAATGATATATTATTAATGAAATTAAACAAAAATTTAATTTATTCTATATTTAAATGGTATAAGATTTAGTTTGTACTATAACTGAATAAAAAAATTAAAATAATCAAAACTGAATAATACAATAACACAAGATAATTTTCGTTCTATTCAAATATTTGTGCGCCCTATACACCATTTTTAGGGCACTAAGAGAGCAATAACATCAGTCTACTGACTTGCAATCACGACAATGCCAACAAAGTCAATAAGGGGGTCCTAATTTTGGCATGCTTGGTTATACATCAAAGAAATATGTGTTCAAACCTTAGTTCAATGGTCAATTTAATTTGGCTGACGGGTTATAAATTACTTTAAACTGTTAGTAAAAGAAAATTCTTAAGTTTTTTTTTTTTAACATGCAATCAAAATTTTCATTTTATTGATTAATTTTATGACATAAACGACACATAAAATCTTTAAAATAACAATACGTCTTTTTTAAACTCTAAATACAATATATGTATATATTATTCTATGATTATATATATCATTCATGTCAGTTCGATGCAATTTGAAATTGACCAACAAGATAAAAAAAATTACATGTCAAAACAAAAGATTGGAGACACCAATTAAAAACATTTTATTTTTATTGGCCACAATTCAGGATAGTTTACAATGAATGAATTATTTAATTTTATACGTAGAAAGACGTGGTACATCACAAGACCTTATAAGGAAGATATCTTTGGGTCCCTTGTTCGACCAATATTTCTGGGAAGTGGTTGGCCAGCAGAATTTGAACCGTCAAAACAATATGATGTTTTCTCTTTCGAAGAAAAGTAAGCAGTGAAGATGAAGTGCACTACTTTCATTGACGGGTGATAACAGAGAACCGGTCCATTTAAGCTGTATCAGTTCCCTATCTCACAATCAATTTATTTGACCGTCCAACAGATTGGTGCGAACAAGCAAAAGCGAGGAAGAGCAATAATTTATATTTCTTGCATGAAAATGACAGACTTCATGATGCCAAACGTTTGAGTTTAAAAAATGGTGTAATGAGGTCCAGTATTTACTATCGTGGTCCCTATATACGACATCAAGATAAGATAGCTATTGAATTTGGTTCCTTTAACCATAGTTTTTTCTTTTTCTTTTTCTTTTTAAATCATCTTTGACCACAGTATATGCTTTATTTTGAGTCTATGAATTTCATTCAGCTTTAGAAATTAGCTTCATAACAAAAGGAATTTTTAAGGTTCTTTAGTTTAAACTTTATGCATATCAAAATTGGAATTATTCTATACCAGCTAGTTCTGACTTTCTAACTCAGTCATTCTAAATTAAAAATGAAAATGGGTGTATTTGTCATGATAGATTCTTAGGTGTCCATAAAAAAAGTAATAGTTGAGAATGTGATTATTTTTATTTTGTTAAAAATGAAAATTCATACTAATTGAAAAAGTTTACTATTTTGAACAAGTTTATTAGTTAACCTTAATATCTAAATATTAAATATACATTAACATTTGCTTTTTATTTTTTCAATTACACATATAAACATATATATCATTTCTGTTCAAAACTAATATGATATTGAAATGGATCCAGATAAAATATAATTTTCAATTAAAATATAAAATTTTGAATAAAAATAAAAATTTTAACTTTATAAAATAGTAATTACCAAGTAAAGTAATATATTTACCAAACACGTTAGAAAGCATAGGATCATGATGTTGGAAGCAGTATTGTGTTATAATTAGTAAAAAAGGATGTACTGTTCCACTCAATAATAATAATAAGGCATTTAATATATATATATATATATATATATATATTCACATTCCCAAGCACTTATCATGTAATTCCCTTCATTCTAGAGTAACCTAAAATTAATTTACACATTAGGACATAAAATACTCATTCCCTTAACTCATGGTATTAAATTACTAATTTTAAACATCATATTATTTTTATGATATATATTTTTTTTTTGAGATCTCTTTTACAGGCGCAAAATTTTTTATTTTTAGTCTATTAGTACAATTAATTAAACATTGATAGTAATTTATTATCTCACAATAATGAAAGATAAGATGATAATTTACTTCAAATATCTTTAAAACTATCAAGAAGAAAAGAAACATAAAATTGATATATACTTTCTTACGAATCTTATATTGTTAAACAAACACAAAAATTCTAAGTTTTTGAGAGCTACTTTCTTGGATAAAAAAAGTAACATTCTTCAAATGAATTGTTAGATTCTTAGGTATTTAATATTTTTAGACATACCAAATCTAAGAATATCTTAAATTATTTCTCCCAAAAAACCTTAAATGTATCAATACCAATTGCTTCCAATAATTTTAAAATTCAAAACTTCTTACCAGTTTCTTTTATTATGTAAAATATTCTGACCAAGTTACATTACTATCTATTGTGAATTCGGAAATAGTTATACCATTTTTATTTTTAAGGAGATAACTAACTTTTAAACAAAACCCTAAAAAAAAATGGGATGAGTTGAGAGAAATAATACAAAATAAAAATAACAACAACAGTAACAATAAACAAATAAAATAAAATATATCATTATAATTACATAACACTTACAATATTATCGTATTCTATTTAATTATATCTAGAGTTCAATACAAAATGAGAAAAAAAATGCATTTATAATACAAAAAAACATCACAGTGTCTATAATACAAAAAATATAAACAATAATATAAAAAACTATAATATACAATTACAATTAATTTGTATGACTTAATGGGACGTAAATGGGCTATTCAAAGCCTATCTCAAGATTGAGATTAAGGGAAAAAAAAAGATAAATAAAAAACTTTCTCGAGGCATATAATACATCAATACATACATGTTATAATTACCTTATGATTTGATTCTAATTTAGATTTCCTTACTAATAAAATGAATGTATAAAACAAACTGAGAGTAAAAAATTAAGAAGAACTCAACAGTTGACCCATGATGCTAAGTGACAAAAGGAGAAGATTAAAACGACTTGTTATACACGATGAACAGCTACGGTACCTAGAAAAAACCGAAATGGAGCGCGTCATTTGGCAGGTGAAGACAGAAAGGACGGTGCATCTAAGCCGAGCTTCTTTCTATTATGAAATGCGCTTGATTAGCAGCGTAGTAGCGAGAAGAACACGTGAGCAAATCTGAGTGACGAGGATCCAGAGGCTACATGTGGATGCCCCTTCTGTCAGGGATTACATCGAAGCTTCAAAATTATTATTTAACTAAACGTTTTCAGCTCAGCTCGGCTTGGGTTGGCTTGCAAATATGCGGTGAGGCTGTCTTGCTCGACTTCTTTTCTTTATAAAAAATGTGGGTTTCATGCTTTGTTTTTTATTTTACTGCCATCAAATGTAGTTTGGTACATATATAGATGAGAATTAAAATAAAATTTTATTTTCATTTTATAAATGCTTGATTAAAAAAAATTAAAGTAGAAATAAAAATAAAGAATTAAAATTAAATATAATTTCACTTTTATGGGAAGATAGGAATAAAAGTACAAAATGAGAATATTTTTTTTCAAATAATGATACATTATTTTTATTTATTATGTATAAACTATTTTTACCACCTCTACCACTAATATCATCATTATTACCATCATTGGCATTAGCAATAGTTATAAAAAAATTTAAAAATATATATCATTCCGTCCCTACCACTCTATTATTATCATTATTTTTATTATACAAACGATATCTTAATTTTTTTCTTCTACTGTTATCTTTTATAATAATAGTATTGTTTTTCTTAATAAATTATTATTATTAGCACTAGTATATTATTACTACTACCATCAATTACTCCTCTGTTTCCATAACTACTGCAAATCAATTTTTTTTATTATTATTATTGTTATTATTATAATAATAGTTAATAAAATTATTTTTTAATAATTTTATTTATTTATTTTAAAAATGAATATTAAAAATTTTAAAATTTTATTTTGATTTTTTTATTAATACTTCAAACACAATATTAGAATGAAAATATCATTTCAATTTCTTAATTTTTATTCTAATTCTTGCATTCTTGTTTCAGATTATTTATTTTTACTACCAAACGATATCTCGAGATATTAAACTATCAATACTTTTTTTTTTTTGGAGAAAAGTAGGTTGAAATACTTTAAGAGTTGTTCCCACATAATTTTTTTCCAATATTTACCTCACTGACTCATTTAAAAAAAAGTTACATTGAGATCCATTAAAAATGAGAAAATTATTTTTATCTAAATTTATTTTTTTCTTTTTTATTTCTTTATGCTTTTGTGTTTTTCTCTTTTCCTATAAAATATTGACAGTTACTCTATAGGTTTCATAAAATTTCTCGTTCGTATTGATTCAACTGGAGAAAATTAATAAAAGAGGGCATATTATTATTAACTTGGAAATTAAATAATGAAAATCATGTTAATTATGTAAATATCAGTACAAGTCCATCCATAATTTAACTGAATAATATTTACGATCGAGACTTCTTTTCTTAATTGAGGAATCAATTTGAATTTTAATCGCATTTAAAATTACTAACCATTCTGTACCAGGTAGATCACCAACCAATGGATAGGACAGACATCCAATTGATGGGAGCCAATCTGCCTGTCTAAACCAACAAATTAATTTAGTTGTCTTCGCCGTACCTTCCCAACCAGTTTCCCATCTCTATTAAATTGAACATCCAACTGAACTTTAAGCTTGCACCAGCCACCAATTATAAATTATTTGAATAAACTTCCTCACTAAAGCCTCATGTGACCACGACTACACTAACCAACCTACGATGCCTCATCACCACTGTCCTTAACCTAGTAAGAAACCAAATTCTTGATTCGAATCCCACATTAAGCCACGTAATCGCTTCCATAAATATTTCCTTATGCGCACTCCACTTAATTGTTTCCTTTCATGTCGTTATCAGTATCTTTCCGATTAAGTATATAGTTTTGACAACTTTCCACTTTGGACCCTTCTTGTTGCAATTATCGTCTCTCTAATCCTAAAGCTTTTCTTAGAAGTTTACCATTTCATTGCAAAATGTCAAATTTCCCATCCTTTACTTTCATTTTCAGTTATTTCCTCTCATCTTCACTTTTTCAAACTATAATGCTCAAAAAAAAAAAAAAAAAAAGAAATTAATTTTGTTAAATTTACTTTTCAATCATACATCTATCTATCAAACAATATATATTTACTCATCAATAAATAAAATGTTTCCAAAAGTAGCTTTGCAAATAAATATTTCATAAATAAAATAAATTTTATATTTTTAAATTCCATATGTGAACATAAAATTTTCAATACCTCTAAATTTAAAATAAAATTTCATTAATTTCTATTAGTCAATTTTGAAGTAGAACACGCCATTTAATGGCGAGTGCCATATGAGATTCATTTAGGGATGTTTATTCGGTTTTTCGATTCGATTTTGATGTTTTTTTTTTCGGTTTTCAGTTAATCAAATTGGCTAAAACAAAAACCGAAACCGAACCGAATTGTTGTTCGGTTAAAAACAAAAAAATTTCGGTTAAAAACCGAAGTTTTTTTTTTTGCTTTTTTTTTTTTACATTTTTCTTCTAAAAATCGAATTATTTTGCTTTTAAAAAATATCAAACTTGCATAATCAAAGATTGCATATTTCACATTTGATTTTATAAGAAAATTATGTATGATTATTATTATTTTTCTATAATAAATATGTTTCTATTTATATTATAAACTAAATTAGTTGGGCTTCTCATTATTTTTTCAATCACGCTATAATTGGTTTTTTATTAATTTTTCATATATTTTTTTAATCTATTTATTTTGTGCATATTTTATTGTTGAATATATAATATGAAAAATTCAATTTTTAATTTATGTTTGTGCCAATTTTAATACAAGGAGATAATTTTTTTTTCATGAGGCTTTAGGATTCACCTATAAATTTGTGTTTTCATAAAGAATTTCTTTATCATAGTCTTTTTCTTATTTTTTGTGAGTCAATATAATATAATCAATTATTTTTTATTTCAATAAATAATTAATGAAAAATATTTCTATTTTAAGTAGAAAAAAAAATCATTAAAGCTATTGTTCTTTTAGTTAAATTCATAGGTGCCTCTTTGATTTTTTTTTTTTTTAAAAAGAGTTTGAGTATGTGTTAAAAAAAAATAATAATTCAGTTTTCGGTGGAAACCGAATTTGAAAAAAAAAAACCGAACCGAACCGAAATATTTCGGTTTTCGGTTTAGGTTTTAAAAAATTTTTTTTTAAAAAAAACGAACCAAAATTGTTAATTCGGTTCGATTTGGTATTTCGATTTTAACCGAATAGTGAACACCTCTAGATCCATCCGTGGAGCCGTAACATTCCTCTTTGAGATAATATAATGTTTTATAAGTCTTAACAATAAAGGGTAATATTAGAAGTTGTTCAAAACTTCTGTACTAGAAACTAATACAATTAAACATGTATGTACCAAAATGAACTTTTACCCCTATCATTTCTTAATTAGTCTATAAATACCCAAACCTGACGCCTCAAGTCTCTCTTTACTTTTTTCATCTCTCAGCTTCTCTCCGTCACCACGTCTCTCTCTGAAAAATCTCAAATTCTGCTTTCATTTTGTTGGTCTCCCTGCACCATGTCATCAATGGCAGAGATGGAGCCGCTAACATCAGGAGCAAGCAATCGAATAATCCCAATCTTGAAAACCCTAAGAACTTCTCTTCTTTTCATTCACTCACTTCTCTATTCCCTCCTTCTCCTCCTCCTCCCTCGCCGTTACCGCCGCCGTCCCGTGGCGGATTCTGCAGCCCAGCAATCGCCTAGAAAGCCGGGGAAAAGGCGGAGATTAGAGGAGGAAGATACTTTGAAAAGGAGAGCTCTTGCTGAGGGTATTGATATGACAACCGGTGGCGAAGATTGCCGGTGGAATACGTTCTTGTTCTTTGGTGTTAGACGAAATGCTCTCTTTGTTAGGTCTTGGTTTCCGGTAACCTGTCAAATGAAGTGAGTTTTTTTATTTTTTTTATATATATTTGTTTAGATATTTGTGTTTTATTTATTTATTCTTATTAGTTTGACAGAGAAATGTGAATATGCGAACAAAGGGCTTGAAAGAAAGAGTGAAACTTGCATGCAATTTCGGGCTTATTATTAATTACTCTGTTTGATAGTCACTGTTTATGTGGAATTAAACAATTCTTTTTTTAAGTAATTAAGGAAGGTAGTTAAATCATCTTAGTTGAATTTTAGGTTAGTTATTTATGTTTTTTACTGGAAATTAAGTTGCTTGTTTTTTATTTTGTTATTGTTGTGGTTCCATTCTAAGTTTAATTAGTGATTTGTACTCCATACTGCATCCAATAAGTTGATGAGATAGAAATGAAATCAATTTGCTGGATCACAAAGTGAAAAGACAATCAAATGAAGGGTTCTGGACCAGAAAATTGTAATCTTGAATTTAAATAAATATTTTGGTTAAAATGTTTTTTTTTCCCATGAAATAATACGCTATTTATCGCCATGAGCTTTGAAAATTTTAATGTTTTTATTGTAGTTTTTGTTTCGCATGTGACACATCTTTAGCATGTATATCTTTACTTTCATCCTGTTTTTGTTCCTTTTGCTCCCGATTGATTCAGTACTTAGATACAAGGGTTGTTTTGTGACTTCAGGGGCATTTTGGTCATTATTCATGGACTCAATGAGCACAGGTAACATTTGAGGACTTCAGTCAACATTTCGAACTTTGCTTGCATCTTTAATTTCTCTCCTATTAGTGAAATGATTTTGATGCAAATCCACTTTTTTTTTTTTTTTTTTTTGTGCCCTTCCAAATAAAAGTTTTCTGACTTATCTTCTGTTTGGCCTTCATTTCCAGTGGAAGATATGCTCAATTTGCAAAGCAACTAACATCATGCAACTTTGGAGTCTATGCAATGGACTGGACAGGTGGCTAGGTTTTGTAAAGATGTTTGCATATTTGGTTTCTTGACCTTTATAGTCAATAGGTTGTTGTGGAGCTTCATGCTCTATATATTTAGAGCGTAGGCGTGGTTAAATTTTATAAAGTCCACTGGAAGGTTCTTTAAGTTGAAACTTTATTATATCATTTGCATGTGATATTGATCATTTCTCAAATGATGTTTGCGTTTTTGGTTTCTTGACCTTTATAGTCACTAGGTTGTTGCAGAGCTTGATGCTCTGTTTATTTAGAGCATAGGCATGGTTATAGTTGCTAAAGTCTAATGGAAGGTTCTTTAAGTTGAAACTATATCATATCATTTTCATGTGATATTGATCAGCCCTCATATGTTAACAAGAGAGAGAGAGAGAGAGAGAGAGAGAGAGAGAGATTTTGATAACTCGCTTATCATGATTGGAGCATTCCAATGCATGCTTATGCTGATAAAAAAATTTATAACTTCTTCTTGCAATATATTATTACGATCTCTTTTTTCACCAATTAGAAGTGTTTCTAGTTTAAGTCTCTAGCTTTGCCGTATGGTAATTATTCTTTTTTTCATGGCACAGGTCATGGTGGGAGTGATGGGTTGCATGGATACGTTCCTTCACTAGATCATGTTGTTGCAGACACTGTAAGTTTAGTCATACCTTTTTTTCAATCCTTTGCCATGACAACTGTTCTTTATCCTATCCAGCCATGGTGCTAGATTAAATCTTCAATAATCATTACTGTCTGTCATGGCCTGTACTCCGTGTTAAGGCATACACAATCCTCTCTTCCTAAGCACCTTAACAATTAATCTATCATTTTTTATTCTTTTCCCTGGCCTGGTAGTACATTCAACTTGAATCCATGATGATGTTTTGTTTAGTTTATAGCCATTTACTTCAATTATCCATAATATACCCACAAAACTGTAAGTATAAAAATTGCAAATTTTGTATCAACAGGGGGCTTTCTTGGAAAAGATCAAGTCAGACTACCCTGGAGTACCATGCTTCCTTTTTGGTCACTCAACTGGAGGAGCTGTGGTTTTAAAGGTAATAGACACTTACAAAGGAAGTTGTATTCCTCTTCTTCTTCTTTTTCCCAGTTTTCATTATTATGCTGAACTAATAAATTGCATCTCTGAGTAGGCAGCCTCATATCCTAGCATTGAAGAGATGCTGGAGGGAATCATACTGACCTCACCTGCTTTGCGTGTCAAGCCAGCACATCCTATTGTTGGGGTAAGTGTTTTCTGTCTTCTAGATCACGACAGTGGCGGAGATGGTAATGATGATAAGTGTGATATTGTAGATAGTGTTCTCATGGTTTAGGAGTTGAGGTCAGTTCATTGAACTTGGATTTGTTTTGAAACCAAACAATACTGTTGAGCTTTTAAGTGTGCCATTTTGAAATTCTTAAGGTCCAGTGCATTAGAGTTAAGGTCATGTACTGTAAAGCATGATAACCGTGACTTGTTGGGTTGTGCTGTCATGGTCCAATTCATTAGATTTTATGAATTCTAGATGCTGTTTCAAAACCAAGCTATACCAAAGTTCTAAAGCATGTGATTTTCAAATTCTGTGTTCAGTATAACATTACCCTGTTATAATTCTGTTTTTATCCCTGTATAGAGGGAGAGTTCGGATTCTAGCTTTTTAATAAATGAAACCAAGGCAGAAACATTGTACTGCAATAATTTTATTTGAGGAGTTCATTTTACTTGAAAGTTGCCATCAATCCTCAGAACAAGAAGTTGCATTAGTTTTAATTTTTGACTTCTTGCTAATAAAACATTCATTTATTATTTTGATGCAGGCTGTAGCTCCTATTTTTTCTCTGGTTGTCCCCAAGCTCCAATTTAAAGGAGCAAACAAAAGGGGCATTCCAGTTTCTAGGGATCCTGCAGCACTTCTGGCCAAGTATTCTGATCCATTGGTCTATACAGGACCGATAAGGGTCCGTACAGGGCATGAGATATTGCGAATATCCTCTTATTTGAAGCGCAACTTCAAGTCTGTGACCGTACCATTCTTTGTTCTCCATGGAACTGCTGACAAGGTGACCGATCCTCTAGCATCTCAGGATTTGTACAATGAAGCAGCCTCCAAGTTGAAAGAGATAAAGCTTTATGATGGTTTCTTGCATGACCTTCTCTTTGAGCCTGAACGGGAAGAAGTTGGTCAGGATATCATCAGCTGGATGGAGAAGAGATTAGGTGCTGAATCCGAACAAATTTGCAGTCAGTGGTAGATTCTGACATTCAAGGGTTCGGCTTAGTCACGAGTATAGCAATTTCAATTGTCATATTACGTCACGCAAGTTTATTTCTCCCACGTTTGTGTATCTCATGTCTCATGAAATGGAACATGAATTGGTGCAAAGAAAAAGAAGCTCTCCTATGGTTGTTTGTCTTTTTCTTAAAAAAAAAAAAAAATCTTCTTTGTATGGTTTTTGAAATCTCCTCCTCATTTCCTCAAAGTAAACAAAAATAATGCTAAAAAATCACCAGTTGGCCTTCATGCCAATGTAACCTCATTTTGCCATTACTTCTAACTGGTTATTCTTGGGCCATACAGAAATTTGGGTCCGAGATGAGCGAACAAACTCTGGTTTGGTCGACAGAATGGGAGTGCCTATGAGACCGAGAATTTGGATCAACCAGGTTCCAGGGTATGCTCGACGAATAGGTAGGACTGAATGACTGATGAAAGCTTCTATCTTCTATCTATATCTCATGGTCAAGGAGGGAAGGTCCCAAATTACGAATCTGGATTTCCATTGCCCCACTTTAACGTTGAGGCTTATTCCTCCCTTCTTTAACTACCGGCACTAACAACAGAAAGTATTAGCTCGGTAAATGTTTTTTATGAAAACAATTCAACTAGAAGTATTTGATGATATCATTACTAATTCGAAGTTATGGTGATTCTCTAAATGCAAACAAGCTTTTCAATAACATAGAGGCCATGCCTAATGCTGACCACTTGAAGTCTTGAACGCCGAATGATAGCACTAACATAAAATCCAAATCCCACCCTGATTGGACAGCTTGTTCCATTTTTTGGGCCTGAGTTGTAATATGAAACAAAATCCTCCAATCCCCTCCCTTCAATTGGATCGACAATGAATGACCAATCAATCATGCACCCGTGTTAACCATCTACATTCTTTGGCACAGGCAACACTTTGATGGTGCCAGATGTGGGGTTAGACACAGTTCAACTGGATCAACGATTTGTAGCGCCTCTTTGGCCCAACTGATCTTGATCTCGTCATGACTACCGATGACATTGGTGTTCTAGAAGCCCAGTGCCGAATCAGATCATGTTGTCCAAGCTCGCTCTATCCTTACATAATTGTTTTCCAACATTCACTTATTTAAAAACATTAATCATTAGATTTATAAAAATTATTAATAAAATTCAGTTATTTAATACATAAAATATTCATTAAATGATTAATATTTTTTTGGATGATTGAATTTTGTAAGATAATCATGTAAAATTAGCTTACTCCACTCTTACTTGATAACATTTATCCCTTGTAGATTGGCAACGAAGCGGGGCGGGGGTGGATTGGGACATCCCCGTCCCCGCCTCGTCCTTGAAAATTTTGTTCCATTCCCGTTACGTGCTTCGTTCGGAGCAAAATTTGTCATATCATCTACTGTCCTAAACGGGGATGAGGATATCCGTGAGACACCGACGGAGCAAACGAGGCAAAAAAAATTATAAATTATTTTTTGTAACTTATCTTATCCCATTTTACTACCAAATTTGAAATTATAGCAAAAAAATAATAGTTCATATAGAAAATAAACTCTAAAAATCACTAGTTACATATTTTATATAGGGTATAATTATAATTTTAGGAATGAAAAATCATGAAATTGGACAAACGAAGTAGGGCACGCAAATACCATCCACTGTTCATGAGGCGCCCCACCTCGCCTCGTTCTTCGATAAACGTGGGGAATCCCTGCGTTGATCGGGACAGAGCACGGGACGGGTCGGAGCTCTACTAGAGCGGGGCAAATTGCCATCCTTAATCCTCTCGCTTGTGTAGATTACGAAGTATTTCAAAAAGGTTGTTGGGCCTTTTAGCTTGACTTTGACCTTGCTTTCCCATTCGAGTTGCATTTCTTCTTCCATTACGGAGAGGGGATGCACGTTCGACTACGAGGAGTCGTTGGTCACATATACATGACATTTTGATCCTTGAGTTTGAAATAATTATTGGTCATGGAACTAACTTGGATTCTTTTTTCCTACTAATTAACTCGTTTCCTAAAGGACAATATGACTAGTTCAAGGATTTTCTTTTTCTTTTTCTAAAAAAAAAAAGACTAGAGAAACTTCTATCTTTTCAAAATTAACTCGATTGATTTGGTTTACAAATGCAATAAGCCTTTGCAATTGCAATTAATCGGAATTTGTCATCGATGTTATAAGGGTCCGCATAGTGATGCCACTAGTGGAGCTATAGAGCCTTCAAATTAGTAGAATAGCTGCATGCTACAAGTATCATTTATGACATTAAATTTTTAATGACACAATTTTCATTGTTAAAAGATCGGATAATAAGTTAATATAATTTTATATCGTAAGGAAAAAAAAAGTCGAACAAGGATTAAAAAGTTAACCATGTAGAGCAACACAACAATCGCTTGTTGAATTACGTATCGAAATAAATAATCTTGCATCTCTTTTTTTAGGACTTTTTTTCATATTCTTAATTTCGACGCTTAACAACTAATTAATACTTGTATGATGGGTACTCCTGTGCTCTTAGTTACTTAGTTCTATAGGTTTTCTTCTAAATTCAACTTCATTACGAGTTAATGTTAGAATAATGGCTTATATTCTTTTAAGTAATGATCAAGTAAATAAAATAGAGTAATCACTAAAGAAGAATAGAATAACCTTTAAATTTTATAAATTTAGTCACCAAATTTGTTTCTTCTTTGTCTACTAATAATTTTGTCCATTATAAATAGATAAGTAGATATGTGATTTTATGGTGTGCGAAACAAGATTGAGAACTTTTCTATGAATATGAGAGCGGGTGTGAAAAGAGCTTTGGATATAAAAACTACAATCATATTCTTATGCTAATTTTCTCTCATAGTAAAAAATTTTGCTTAATCACTTTAAATCTTGTGTGTCCCTTCTTTATTTATTTTTATTTATTATTGTTATTTTTTTCACCGAATTGAGTTGTTCTAGTGGTGTGTTGAATCTTGGGTCCTTAATTTTCCAATAACTTTTATCAAAGCTTTAATTTTAGGAGATTCGAGCTTTTAATTATGAACAATGTCTACATACGACAAGATTCAATTTATTGTGGAACAATCTAATGGGAATAGAAATTTTACTCTTCGAGTAACAAAGGTGAAAGCATCCTTGTTCAACAAGACTTGACTAAAATATTGAAAGAAAAGGATGGGAAGCCAAAAGAAATGGAGGAGCATGAATGAAAAGAGTTGGAATCAAGGTGTATAAGCATGATTCGTCTACTATATTACCGATAATATTGTTAATAATATTATGGAAAAAGATTCAACACCTATAACATGAAAAAACTAGAAAAGTTTTATCCGATTAAGAGTTTAACAAACAAATTACATTTGAAGCGATAACTTTGTAAGTTAAATATGGAAGAAGATGATAATCTCATAGAGCAATTGATTGTGTTTATTATTATACTAGATTAATTACGGAAAGTTGTTTTTAAGAGTGAGGAAGAAGACAAAGCCCTTTTGCTTCTTACCTCTCCTTTCAATTCATTTGAAAATCTAGTGATGGCGTTATTATATAGTAAAGATATATTGAATTTAGACTAAGTACAAACTGCACTTTTATCTCATGAGATATAAATAAAGTTAAATTAAGAAAAGAATACCAAAATGAAGTATTGGAAGTGAAAATTAGGTGAAAAGGAATTTCAAAGTGGCGAGTCCGAGTTTAGGTCTAATGAAAAAGGCATTTAATATTACATGTGGAAAGAATTTAGTCACATTAAGCGAGATTGGTCTTAAAAAAAGAAAATATATAAATCTAATGTTGGTGAAAATTCTTTGACGGTGGTAGAAGACTATGAATATGTCCTCACAAAATAGTTGAATATTAGATTCTACATATGTATTACATGTGTGTTCAAAGAAAGAAAAAAAATATTTCGAGGAGTTTTGAAAAAGAAAAATTTTAGATGGTGTGTCATCTTGTGATGTTATAAGTTTTAGAATGGTGAAAATCAAAATACTTGATGGGGTGGTCCCTATTTTAGATGGCATGATTTATATGTGTATTAATCGATATCACCGAGCCAATTAGAGTCCAAAAAATATAGTTATTCCACTACAAGTTAAAATCACACATGGTGGCACAATCCTAATGGACATATAAAAGTGTGATGGTTTATATTGTTTGATTGGAAAGATAATGACCTCTAGGATTGGCTGAGAATAGAGTGCATTTGATGGAAGTACGCCAAAAGAGTCTATTTGATGATTAGAAAAAAGACAAAAAAACATGCATTGTCGGGTTTCAATTGGGTGTGGGAGAAAGATCCTACTAAAGGAGAGGATGGATCAATGATCCTCTTTAGAGTTAACAAGTAATATGGACTCAAAGTAGCTGTAAATAGGCATTAGTCATGTTTATATATATATCAAATGGAGTTTAGAATTGTTTGCTAATTCAAGTTATGTGTAACAAATAAATTTTAAGGTCGATGTTTATTTTTACTTATTTGTTTGCTATATTTATGAGTAAAGAGAGTTTTAGGCTTATGGCTTATATTTCTTAAAATAATGGCCAAGTAAATAGAGTGGAGTAATGATCAAAGAAGAGTGGAGTGGCCTTTAGGTTTGGTAAATTTTTTCACCATGTTTGTTCCTTCTTTGTACACCAAGAATTTTGGGCATTATAGGCGAGTTAATAGATATGTGATTTTAAGGTGTGCAAAATGCAAAGGTTGAGAGTTTTTATTTATTTTTAAGTGTGAGAGTGAGTGTACAAGAGGTTTTAAGGTTGAGCTTTAGGTATAAACTTACAAACATATTCTTGTGTTAATTTTCTCTCGTAGTAAAGAATTATTCTCAAGTTTATGAATTAGATAGAATTTCCTTCCAAACCAAATTAAATTTTATGTGTCTACTTTTTATTCAATTTTATTCATTCTTTTTTTTTTAATTGAATTATTTTATTCGTGATAGTGAGTTGAATTTTGAGTTCTTAATTTTTCTATATATATATATATATATATATATATATATATATATAAAAGCACTTCTAAGAGCGTTGAAAAAACAAAATAAAAATCAATCTTAATAGATCTTTTTCATAATGAAAAACAAACGATTCATCAATACCTATGCATATATTGAGTTGACTTATACATTCTTGTCCTTTTAATTATACTTGGACATCAATAATTTTCTAACAAAGGCTTCTTGTGCCTTATAGAAACCATGCCTCTAGTTAAAAACCCATTAAAACTCGATGAGACATCATATTCTATATTATTGCATGTGGATTAGAGATAGAAGTTAGGTAAAGAATTAAAATCTTTTAATGTCCACCCTTTACCTAGATCAACAATAAAACACCACTCGATCTTGCACCTATTTTGACTCGTATCCGATGCATTAATTGCCAATACCTTTATGATGGTCACGTATGATTTGAATATATAGTTATTTTTAAGGACCTCATAGCTAATACACTTTTTCAACAGAATTAATCATCAATAACTTCTCTTTTGACCTAACGGACCTAGGTCTCATCATAATTTCCATATGTTAATAGTGTTTTAAAAGCATAATATCGAGGCGAGCCACGCTTTCTTAGCTCTCCATCCACTCGATTACATATATCTAACTTGAAAACTATTTGTTTGTAGAAGTCCTCTAAGAGAAATCATATTTAGTCTATTGTTGGCTCTTTAGCTTAACTACGAACTTTTCTTTCCATTTTCTTTATGTTTCTTCTGCTATATTAGAGAAAGGATATGTATTTTGAAAGGCGAGTTGTTAACATATACCACGACAACAAACCTTAAAGGTTAAGGAGAGTTGAAGATTTATGAAATGAGAATAATTTGAGTAAAAGAGCATATGTTTCTCTATTTATCTAACATAGTATAAAAATACATAAAAAAATCTTTTGGTAAGAGATCAATAAGGTTTTGAATTTAAATAAACTATCTAATCTAACTAACCTAGCGACTAGATAATAAGAGTATATCTTAAATTCTAATATCATATCCCTAACACCTTCTTAACTTTACAATCTTGAGTTTTCAAGCGAGAGATTATCATAAAGGAATACAAATTTTAAGAGGGGATGGGACTATCTGCAGATTTAGTTGCACCAAGCTTATCAATTGACTCTACCGTGGATTCAGTCACATCAAGCTCATCAACTAACTCTATTATAGATTTTGTAGCATCAAGCTCAGAAATCGACCATGTTGTCGGGGATCTTGTAGCGTATTGTGAAGCTTTACCTAAGGACCTAGCCCCGTATTCATTACACTCTGAAAAGAAGAAGTGAAAAACCTTTGTAATATGGGAAGGAAGCCAAACCCCAAAAGTAAGTGAACGACTACATAGAATCCTTAGCCATAAATAAATCCTTAGTAGGATTTTGTAACACTCTCTTAGAGAGAGTACGATCTTTTCAAAATGAGTACTATAATAACGAAAATCCTACACCATTTTCCTTCGATTTGAAAAAGGATTAAGCTAAGTTGTTCTCCATTACATGGGAGTATAGCGATGACCAAGATAAAGAATCTTTTTTTCTTACTACATGTCGTGCGGAACGAGCCTTGTCTACGAAGGAGAGTGACCTCATTTTGTTTGCTTTTAGTGAAGCTTTTAGAAGAGAAGGCCTACTACTACAATAAATAGAAGAGATAGGAAAGCCAAACAAGCTAGACGAAGAGCTCATATAGCAAGCAAGCCTACTTATAACCATTCTTTCTTTTTTCACGAGATTCAATAACTCTATATACAACAATTAAAAATAGCCCTTTTTTTTCTTTTTTTTCAAGTTCTATTTCAAAAGTCCACAAGAAGCATAGAATAGCTGGAAATGGGTTCTCGATCGAGTGAACAAGTGCTTCACTAAATGTGAGTTATTCTCACCATGCTATTCTATCTATGTTATTATAAGCTTTGGGGAAGATGGTTGAGGTTTTCATTTTATCCGATTGTCGATCGACGAATTACTCTTTTCACTCTATCTAGGAAATTTTCTTAGCAGTAGAAAGCCCTCCGAATGGAAAGAAAAAGGATTTGAGGGGCATTCCATTTATCCTATATGATATGTTAGGAGGTCTTGTCTTACAAGGAACTCATGCGTGGGTGCGAAAATGCCATTACCTTCGATACGGTCGAAGAGCAAGTCCTATGCGCTCGTCTAGACCAATAATCAATAGAGATAGAAACTCCCTTATGAAAGCCACATGAAGACAAAACGAACTTCTCGATCTAAAACAAGTCTTTGGGGACCTATTCTTCTCATACTTTATTTTGACCAATAGGTCAATCCTCGGATTGGTCAAAGAAAAGAAAATGAGACTTAGCTTATGTGGAACACATACTCTAAAGCTCACTCTTACACTCGATGATTCCTAAGGTGTGTTTAGTTAGAGATTAACGTTAAAAAGAAAAAGGCATTCGGGTGGTCGAATGCATTTTTCTATAGCTTTCCTGGGCCCTACTTGGTTTATGTATGTGTATGTGTAAACGTATTTACTTTCTACGAGGGAACATAAGGAGATGTAACGGATTTTTTTAGAAGTTCTCGATGCTAAGCTTGTCGAAAAGCACTTTGAATATAAGAGCTTGGGTCATCGTATCCTTTTTTTCCTTTTTACCTTCGGTAGGAAACCATTATGGAAAGTGATCACACGAAAAGCCAAAAAACGCTCTTTCTTTCGGCTTCTAGAAAGACTTGAGTCGATAGATGAACATTGGTCAATTTCAATCAAAGGTTGGTTACTAATTAAAAGTGTTGGATTGAAAACATCTCTCTTTCTGATTTTATTTTTGAAGGAGTTTTCTCGTATTCTATATCATCTCCTTCCACGAATGAATAAGGTAAGGTTTTGATCTTTCACTTTTGAGTTTTTCCGAAAGCTTTAGTATGAGTTGGTTATTCTAGTCCATCTCAAATGGAACTCCCACCTAAAAAGTCCTTAGTCTCTTGTTAAACATCTCACCCGGGTAATAAAATTTAGAGCATCGATTCTCGCCAAAGTTACAAGTCATTAAACGATGCGAAAGAGTTGATTAATAAGATTAGGATTAGCCAGTCTTTGAGCCCTAATTGAATCTACCAAATAGATTAAAGAAGGGAAGCACCAACCATTCATTTGTCAAATTAAAAGCTTCGCCTACAATGTAACTTAGAGTGGTAAGCTCAATTTTCCCGGCACTTGTTTAAAGTGGTACGATATCCCTATACTTTTCTAGCTAAGTCAATTGAAAATGACATCGACTAATGAGCAAACAAGCTTCAAAATTGGATAAAAGCCAAGGATCGAGGTTTGGAGTGTGTGGATCAGACTAATAAGAAAGATAAGGTGTTCATGATTTAGAAGAAGTAGCATATGCTCCGTTTTAGGCTAGCTCGCTTAGTCTTCAATACATCATCAATGGCTACTAACGCCACAACAAGGGCACGATAGGTTTCCAAATGAGAGTTGCAAGAGGCCTAAGAGTGAGGAGCACTAATGTATTTATCTTTACAAAGCATTACTGAACTTATTATGTCCCCATTATGAAGGCTTGGCCCAGCCTAAAGCGTTTTTCCTAACTAAGGTGATATTACCTTCTTCCACTACCGAGAAGTCTTTGAAATAGGAGTAGGCTCTTTCACTAGAATCAATCCTCTAGTACTACTTCTTTTCTCGCCTTGTCAAATAGAGATTTTTTCTTTCGATTGTTAATATGATATATAAGGACCACTACTATAAATAGTATTAAACCTTTGATCATGAAATATCGATTGCTTGTTGAACCACTGTGAAATGCGTGAAAATAGGATACTCTAAATTTGAGAGTCCAAGAGTTAACGTTCTTGATAGAAAAAATGTGAATGAAAGATCCCACTAAATTGGGTCTATGAGTCTAAGAAATAGTGATAATTCTTGATCTCTCTCAATTCAAAAATCCACGATTTGAATTGATGTCCTTTCTCTTCTTAAATTTAAATTGCATTGATTTATCCTAAATATTTCATTTCAATTGGAATTTGGTTATTCACCATGTACAAGGATCCTCGCTAAGCATCCATGGCTGGATGGTTAAAGTGCCCAACTCATAATTGGCAAATTCATAGGTTTAATTCCTACTGTATGGACACCAATGAGACCCTCTAATAAATCTATTGGAATTGGCTCTGTATCAATGGAATCTCATCATCCATACATAACGAATTGGTGTGGTGTATTCATATCATAACTTATGAACTATAAGAACTAGCATTCTTATTGAGACTAGAACTCATAGGGAAGAAAACAGATTTGTGGATGGAATTGAATATATAGTGTTTATAGATAAAAGTATTCGGTTATTGGGGAAAAATCAATATACTTCTAATGTCAAATCGGGATCAACTAGGACAGAAATAAAGCATTGGGTTGAACTTTTCTTTGGTGTCAAGTTAATAGCTATGAATAGCCATCGACTCCGGAGAAAAGGTAGAAGAATGAGACCTATCATGGGACATACAATACATTATAGATGTATGATCATTACGCTTCAATCGGGTTATTCTATTCCACGTCTTAGAAAGAAAAGAACTTAAATCAAAATACTTAATAGCATGGCGAAACATTTATCGAAAACTTCTACCCCGAGCACAATCAATGGAGTCGTAGATAGTCAAGTGAAATCCAATACATGAAATAATTTGATTTATGGACAGCATCATTGTGGTAAAGGCCATAATGCCAAATGAATCATTACCGCAAGGCATAGAGGGGAGGTCATAAACTTCGTATCATAAAATTGATTTTTGATGGAATGAAAAATATATATATGGTAGAATCATAACCTACGACTCTAATTGAAATGCATACATTTGTCTCATACACTATGAGGATGGCGAGAAGAGATATATTTTACATCCCATAAGGGTTATAATTGGAGATACCATTATTTATGATATAGAAGTTCCTATAAAAATGAGAAATGCCCTACCTTTGAGTGTGGTTTGAACTATTGATTTACGTAATTGGAAGTAACCAATTAGGTTTACGAAGAAACCTAGAAATCGATCACCGATCCAATTTGAGTACCTCTACAGGATATACCTTAATAGAAAACCGAAGAGTAAGGGTAGCAGGTGATTGAGTTCGGTAGTTCCTCATATAAAATTATTGACTCTAGAGATATAGTAATATGAAGAAGACAAAATTGTTTCAAGTATCGACATAACCGAAGCGCCCCTTGTTTCATAGAGAGGAGGATGGGTTATTCACATTTCATTTGATAGTCGAGGCGAATTGAAAGCTAAGTAGTGGTAATTCTAAAGATTCCCGAGGGGTAATATATAGTAGTAGTCTAAGGAAACACTTTATATAGTTCTAGTGTAAAATGTAAAGCCGAACCCTAAACTTAGCTAGCTAATAAGCTAATAAAGAAGGGGTTCCCCTCTTTTAGGCGATTTCAATTTGAGTTCCCTATCGAAGTAAACATAGTTAGAGCATATATTCCCATCCAGAAGAAAGCGAGCCCGTAAGGCCTTACGGTGAGACGACTAGCAATCTATCAAATCCTATGAGAAAACCATTTCCAGCTCGACTTGAAAATGAATCTTACGAGCATCTTTCATATAACTTACTAGTCAACATTACTCGTTGTTTTATTTTAATATTGTCAAGCATATCTATACTCTATATTTTTTCATCGCATATTAGATTTGTTTAGTATGTAATTTATTATTTTTAAATTATTATAATTTTTTTAAAAATTATTTTTCGGGGTTTATTATGATGGGATCTTACATATAATACGTTTTGCGGCATTCAAGATGAAGTTTTAAAAACATAATAATAATAATAATAATAATAATAATTTGATTTCTGAAATTTTTGAATTATTTTAATCAAAGTCTTATACTTTTTGAATTATTTTATTTGAATCTTTTTATTAGAATTTCACATATGACAAGTGTCAAGCATTTAAAACTAAATGTACCATGTGAGTTTAGAACTAAAACTATTATAACAAAAGATCTCAAACAACACAAAATAAAGAGTAGAAAATCTCAATTAAAAAAATACATAATTTTAATTAAAATAATTTGAAAAATAGAGGATCTATGTATGAAAAAAAAACTCAAACATAAAATCAATTATTGAACATAAAAACAAATTCCACCCACATAGTTAATTTCTTCAATTAAATTACAACCCAGAGAGAACAGCTGTTCCATATTTTTGCCAATGAGCTGGAGGCAACGGTTAATATAAGAAATTAAATCCTCAAATCTCCTTCCTTCTATTGGATCGAGACCAAATGACCATTCAATCCTGCATCCATGTTGACTATCTCCACTGAATATTGCCGACACTTTGATGGTGGCCACATATGAGTTAAATTTGATATTATTTTCAATTATCTCATAGCTTAGGCATCTGTCGATGGGATTGATGGGATTAATCGCCACTAGCTTCTCATTCGTTATTATTTTTTTCTATCATTATTAGTTTAGTGGTTTCCAAAAGCACAAATATATTAAATAAATTAGAGTGTCTTCCTTTTCTTATTAAGGGGGAAAAAGAATTAGGTGCTAGTATATATGTTTGAGTAATAGTCGTGTGTTTTGTGCTGTGCGCCAGCATTTTTTTTATTTTTAACATTTAAAAATATATATTAAATAATTTTTTGTTACTTTTACTTTATTATTTTTAATTTTAATTTTTTTTTCATTTTTGGATCAACAAGTCTTTGATTAAGGATGTTTCTATATCTAATGATATCTTTTTTTATTCTTCAATCCAATTATATTGCGAAACAAGTTACTGATTTCAAGTGTTTTTTTTTTTTTAAATTATTCAATCTAATAAAATCTGTGAAATAATAATTGAACAAGATGAAACAACACAATCTTTTTAAGGAGCACAATGGTAAAAAAAAAAAAAAAAAAAAAACTATAAAAGATGTCTTCTTAATTTTTTTTTTTTTACCTAACTTTTAATTTATTAATAACTGATTATCAAGTGAAACAACACAAACTTTTTGAGGAACATAATAGTTCAGATAAAAAATATATAAATAATTTCTATTTAATTTTAATTTTTGTTTTGATATGATATATATTTTAAGTTTGTTAAAATAAAAAGCCTTCAAAAACAAACACATAAAAAATATAGGAAAAACTCATAAAGTTTGTAAGTTTGATTAATTAATAACTACTGGCTAAAGGCCTACAAAGCTGAATAAATAGTTTATCTTAGTTAACCAATGGCTAGATATATAGGGAAATAAGATAAACCAAAAAATCTGAAATTATTGTAACAAATAAATTAGAAAGTTAAAATCATGAACAAAAATACAATCTGAACATGATTTGCATACTATAAAAAGATTTGGAAGTTGACTGAGTGGATTTTAACATTTAAAATAGTATTTAATAGTTTAGTGATCGACTTGAAAGGCTCAATTATACATCTAGATCAAAAGTTATTTTTTTGTTAAACTTAAAATGTCTATCTAAATTGATTTATCAATCTTTTATCTATCAATTTGATCTATTTTTTCTTGTTAGATATCCAATGTACGTGATAACTAAACAAAATTTTTCTATAGTTTTGTAGATGGGATTGATTTCAATTTTATTTCTTTTGACAAATGAATGTGATTAAACAAAAAAATGAATGCATGCATAAATCTAGCTAGTGATAGAGCACGGAAAAAAAGTGACTCGAATGGTATAAAAGTAGAACAATAGCTAATACTCCAAAGAAATCACCACTAATAATAGGATTTGCCAAGTTAATTATCTCCTGGCTCTTCCCGTACAGTAGTACTTTCAATACCAACATACATATTCACCTTGCTGCTCTTAATTAATTTTATTTTACAATAGTGTAGGCAGCTGCTAATATATTAACAGGAGTTCATGCAATCAAGATGGAATCCATGCCTCAAGCTAAGAGCACATCGGCGTGAACAACATGCATCAACACCAACAATAGCACACTGATATATTCTCGGGGGAAAAAAAAAAAAACTATAGCACTACTATGGAAATTAAATTTCACCCGAGAGGACAGCTTGTTCTAGCTTGTTGGCCATGTATTGGAGAGAGATTTTGATAATAGAAGTCAAATGCTCCGTTGACCATCCTTCGACTGGATCAGCAACGTATGACCACTCGATTTTGCACCCATGTTGACCATCTGATCCATTTATTGGCAATACTTTGACAGTGGCCACATATGAGTTGAATCCAATGTTATTTTCAACAACCTCGTAGCTTAGACACCGTTCCATTGGATTCATCGTCAATAGCTTCTCTTTGACCCAGCTGATCCTGGTCTCGTTATCACTTCCATCCGATAATCTGGATGAGCTCGAAGCGCAGTACCGAGTCAGGCCTGGCTGTCCTACCTCACCTTCCACTTGGTAACAAGTATCCATATCTGGAATCCACTTGATAATATTGCAGAAGTCCTCCAAACAAGGCCACACTTGGTCTGCTGTTGGGGTTTTTAGCTCAACTGTGGCCATCCCTTCCCATTTGAGTTGCGTTTCTTCTGCCATGAGAGAGAGATTAGGTTGTTGCTCGATTATTAGGGTGGTGGTGGTCATATGAACGACCTCGCATATATCTTATGGTTACTGGAGTTGAAAACAATTGATTAAAGGCATATTGGCTTTTAAAATTCTGCCGGCATGCTCCTACTCTCAAACCACTATCTAAGGTGCTTAATTAGTGTATACTTGGACTCACATCTATGACAAAGCTCTAGTGGCCAAAATTATTTTAGGTTTTTTTTTTTAATTTTTAATTTTTTCTATTGGTTTTACAAAGATAATTGGCTATTTTTAGGTTAATTCGGCACATCAAGGCTAAGTCCACCTCCAGCCTCATCAAGTTTTAAATGAAATATAAATAAATAATTAATATGTTACACTAAGTTCATTAAAGTAGAAGTCTTTTATCTATATAGATACAGATTTCCATATGAAGTCAATGGGGTCTAATTACTTTTTGAAAGTTATAGTAATTTTGATAGATTACTTATTTGATGAAACCAAACTATCAAACAAAATAAATAAATAAGTGAATTAATGATTTTGATATAATATATAAAAATATAAAACTAATTACAACATGTAAAGCATATTACTTGCCGATTATTGACGACCCGAATGATTCGTCTAGTATTATATCTAGTAGAGCTTTCCGGAGTTGAGAAAATCATCAAGGAGACCTCTACGAGTTGGGAGCACTAGTGACGGGGTCACTACCTTTGAGGGCATTACTCGAGGAGGCACTACTCGGCGAGAATGTAGACATGTCAACACCACTATCAAGTCCACGTCCTAAACACCGACACTAATAGTGCCATGACGATGTATAGCACCACTATTAGTGGCACGATCACGGACACTACCGGTATTAGTGCCATGACCACGAACACTATCACTATCAAAGCCACAACAATTGTCACCGCAACTAGATCCGCATAATCCACAAGACATAACTCTAGAATAACACCTAAAACTATTTAACAAATACAACAAATAAATAGCAATTCGATTGAACATATATTATAAATTATTTTCATGAAAATTAGATAAAGTCTTCCCTATAAATTGGATATGCTCTTATTACTAGAGATGCCACCTAATTCAATTTCCACAACTACAACCATAATTTTTTCTTTCTACCATATTTTTAAAAAACGAAAAACAATTATATTCACTTTCCAAAACCCACATGATAAAAAGAACAAAATGTTAAGAGCACCAAAACAAGCTATCCCAACAACTCGTTTCCTTATTTGGATAATTTCATTATGATTTCACCCAAAATCATTATTAAAGTAAAAAAAAACAAGAGATTTTGCTAAGGACGATCGTGGTTACATGCAATAAAAGATCATAACCGTAAATGTGAATTATGCACCAAATTTTGATCTAGGATCCTCTACTGCATACAACAACCGAGTGTCCTCAACAACCATGAAAACAAAAGGTTAGATCGACTTCTATCGTTAAAACATCCATGTAACTAGGAACAAACTTTCAACTAAAGGAAAAACTATCATTGATAAGTTTATAATAATTAATCAAGCAAAGAAAAACATCAAAAAAATAAAGTATTCATAATGAAAGTATAAATGCGAACCGATTCCTCCCTTCATTGCCAAGTTAGTATAAATCCGAGTTGATTCCTTCATTTCATACCAAGTTAGTAGTACTTCCCATGTAATACACACTAAATCTTTTGAGAAAAATGAGTGAAGGGATAGCTCAAAAGGGATCGATTAGAATTATGTGATGAGCAATGAGATGTAACGACTAAGTTTGATGTAAAGACTAAATAAAATAGTCAACCAAATTATTTATATCAAGATCAAATCCTTAGATAAAAAACCTCATCCTCCATGAACTAGTTTAGAAAGAGATTGAGGGTCCAATCATTTATAATACATGCAAAGTTTTGGAAAATACTAACGAGAGGATGCATCATAATGAAAAATAATATATTCCAGCTTTTGGTATTTACCATCTTGGTTCAAGGAGATATATAAATGCACTCATACATTTCAACAAGAACGTTGATCCATAATCCAAGTAGTGCTTCTATCTTTGTGGATATCAACTAGTACTATATAAGTGTTATGACGACATACTAGACATTCAAAGTTTATTAGAATTTAGGATATCCACAAGGCATACTAGCTTGTGTCCTTAACTAAAAACTAAATAAATAGTCTACCAAAACATACATGATAATAAATGCCAAATCCTCAAAAAGAGAAGAAAAAAATCTTTATGAACTAGTTTACTATGAAATGTAACAACCAACGATCCAGTGCATTCATAAGATATGCAAGCATTCTCTAATGCTAAAAGAAAAAAATTGTTAATAAGTTTATAATAGTTAACCCGTAAAGGAAAAACATAAAAAAAGTAAAAGATTTACAAGCAAAAAGCAAAACCTAAAACCATAAAAACAAGAGTAACTCGATAGAGAAATTTTGTATATAAAGATGAAAAACTCTAATTAACCTAATTAATTTAAAGATAATTAATAAATTAACCTAATTAATTTAAATACTAATTAATTTAAATACCAATTAATTAACAAATTAACCTACCCAATTACTAATTAAATATAAAAAATTAAAATACGACTAATTAATTAGAATTAACCTTATAATTATGAAAAATAATAAGTTTTTTTGGAAACAAAAGACAGAGAGAGAAGATACCTTCGGACAAGAGGAAAAGACGAAGAGGAAGGAACAAAGTTGAGGCTCTTTAGGGAGAAAAGAGTTTAGAGTGGATGTGGGTTGCTAGGGAGTGGAAGAGTAGAGTATTATGGTGGCTTCGGATGGGATCGGACTAGAGGAGGAAAAGGAGAGGAAGAATAAAATGGGGGAAGAATAAAGGAAAATTATGATTTAAGGATTTAGAATTAGCGATAGATGTAATTCGGTTGCTAACCCATCACTATTTTGTAAATGTCCCTTGTTAATCTATCGCTAATCAATAATAGATGTAAGTGTCCCTCGCTAATCCATATCCGATCTAATAGAATTTGAATTACCAAAGTTTATTCATTTTTTAAATATTAATAATGACTTTTTGTCTCTAATTTGTAAGAGAAATGAGCAATTATCAATAGAAATTTTATCGCAAACCTCGACCCCAAAAAATATCGACGAAATAAATAATCCATCATCGTGTCCCTCATAATTCCCTTATCAAGCCATCTCTAAAATAACCCATGAATATTTTACTACCAAATATAGCCATGGATGCATGTCTCTTATTGAAAATCCATCGCTAATCTATTGGAGTTTCATAGTTAAGGTCTACAACTCGAAAACATGCATAATTCGATCACTAATCAATCACTACATGACGAGAAACTATAATCCGTCACTCGATTTTCATTGTTATTTTCCAATTTTCTTATAATGCACTTCATATATATATATATATATATATATTAAAATTGAATTATATAATGCATTCTCAAAAATAATTAATTAAGTGTAGATATATTATCTCTCTAAGAAGCCGATGGTGAAACTCGATCAAACTTCGACTCTTTTTTGGCTATTTAAACCCATATCTTAAAGGCATTTGGAAACCATCTAATACGGATGAGCTGATTCCATTGGTTCAAAGGCCACTAGAATTGAAATGGCATAAAAGACGATTGAGAAGCAAAACATGCATGTGACAAGATAACATAAGAACGTCAAAATCTATTTGGTGTACACATGAACATGATAATAATGATTTTCTCATGTCTAGATATCCCTCTTACCCCGTGTTTACCATATTTTATGAAATTATCGAATATTTATTTTTACAGTCTTGACATAAGCTCATGCCTTTAATCTAATTAATTACTTGTTGGTGTTAAGTTATGGAGACTAATGTGGATATGGCCCATAGTTTAAAATGCTACGAACATGATAAGCTGGCTATATTCAAGAGTTGTTGGATGATAGGGTAATATTTTTGAATAAGTTTTTAGGATTGAGAATCTAGCTGATATGTTGATCAAGATAGTTACCATTAAAAAATTAAGGGTTTGCATTGCCTCGGTTGGCTTTCATGGTTAGTGATGAGAAGGCTTTTCACTAGAAAGACTTGAAGTTGGTTGAGAAAAGGGCGATTGTAAGAGGTTTATGTGCTATTTAGAGATCATTGTCAAAGTGAAAGATTGTTAAGTTACAAAGAATAATTTGGATGTGGTCCATAATTTAGGATACTATGCACATGATGGTCTCACTAGCGGTCTAAGTATATAGGCCTATAAGGTCTTTTTATTATAATCATAATTGGACATGTTATAAATAGAGATAACATCAATTGTATTTGTAGTCGTCATTTGATAAAACCTTAATAAGAAATCTTAGTGTAGTTGTAGAGTAAATCATATAAGTCTTTATATTTTTTTGCCATATAAAAAGGGATATGCAAATTTTTTCACCTCCAAGATGAAGGAAATGTGTCTCCTTTTTTTTTTCCATATAAAAAGGGATAAGTAATTTCAAGTAGACATTCAAATGTAAAAGAGCTTTTATAGAATTAAAGATGTTTATGTCCCCCTCACGAGATCTTATCCTAATTAAGAAAAAAAGAGCTTTTCTCCTATACCTAAGAGTGGTAGACAAGATATTAAGAGCTTTCCTAATAAGAGAAGAGGATGATATAAAATGACTAGTATACTACACTAATTGAACTCTCTAAGATGCGAAACGCAATACTTATAGATGAAAAAATTGGTATTGGCACTTGTTAGCGCATTTAGGAAGTTAAGGCCATACTTCCACGCTCATCTGCGCATAGTCTTTACCATTCAACGCCTTCATCAAATACTTTATAAACTCAATGCATCCGATTGTCCGCTTAAATTAGCCATTAAACTTAAGGAATTTATAACCTAGTGCCAACTACATTTGGTGGTCAAAGCTTAAACACTACTAGACTTCATTGTTAAGTGCTCTTTCAATGAGCCTATCGGAAGAAAGATGCAATAGGTGAAATCTCAATACCTAGAAATAACTTTTAAGTTTAAGGATGGAAACCTATTTGCAGATAGAGCATCCAATACA